GCCACGAATTCATTTCATGAATGATCTGAATTTTGATTGGCTTACAAATAAATTTACCGACGTTTGACTGCCACGACTGCACTTTCCTGACTCTTTATTGGTCAAGCTTGATTTCGCAAAATTTATTTATTTAAGTTAGCTATGAAATGTGAGGTTAGGGTATAATATGGGGTAGGGGTGGTAGTACTTGCCCCGTCATTTTAGACGGGCTATACGCTCCTGTTCTTATAAACAGCCATTTTGTTACTTCAAACCATTTGACAATAACATTATTACAAGTAAAAAACAATATATAACGAAATCTTTAACAATGTTTTTTGAGAAACAGTTGTCATAAAATAAGTACGAGTTAAACTGGTATTATTTTATTATTATTTATAACATATTAACTATATAATTTTTATTAAGCATATGGCTGGTGTATTATAAAGTAAAAACAGAACACGAATTTATTACAATTGTATTTACCATATTCAATGTTTTCAGTGGTCGCCATTTTCTGACAGCACTCTCTTGCGGCCTCACAACAAGACACCCATTTGTCTACATAACACTTTGACAAAAATGTGTTAAAAATTGGGTGGCTACGGTTGGTTGTCTCAGCTAGATAAGTAATATTCGTCAGCGGGTCCTTCAATCTTCCCATGGACAAATACCTGAAACAATAAAATAAATAAAAACAATTTCCTAGTTTACCGAGTTACTCGCAATATTTTGTACTATCTAGTTGTAATTATGTTAGGTTTGAGAGTGTAGCTTGTAAATTATTCAAGTACTCGAATGTTACACAATTAAAGCAAGTTGCGGAATTTTGCAAATGGAACTATATTTGATCACTTTAGACTTGTTCAACGTATAGCATTTTCTTTTTTCCCAATAACATAGAATTTTCAAACTAGAAAATAGAGAAAATGTATTAAAGTGAACTTTATAGTCCAAAAACTGCTTACCAAAACTTGGGGTTGGCTGGTTTGAAAGCCCAAATCGGCATATAAAGGTAGCAAGAGGCACAAGTGTCATACACGTAATGTTGCCATGGTAGTTTGTATCCCTTCTGTGTCCGACACTCTACAGATTCTAGTGATGTAGTTGAGGTGGTGAGGAGTGGAGTCATAGCGCGTTCCACGCGGCCTAAGCCCCACAGTGTATTCGAATTGCGACCCATTCCAGTTATATCCGAGTGTTTTGAAGTTACTTTACGTTCTGCAGGAGATACGTCCCACTTCGTTGGCATTAGTTCCCATTTGTCACCAAAAAAATTTAATGAAGAATCTTCCCACTCATAATTGGAGACAGCAAAACTCCTCTGTAAAACAAAGATATGTCGTTAACATTCATGAACCGAGACGGCAAAACTCCTCTGTAAAACAAAGAGATGTCTTTAACATCCATGAACCGAGACGGCAAAACTCCTCTGTAAAACAAAGAGATGTCTTTAACATCCATGAACCGAGACGGCAAAACTCCTCTGTAAAACAAAGAGATGTCTTTAACATCCATGAACCGAGACGTCAAAACTCCTCTGTAAAACAAAGAGATGTCGTTAACATTCATGAACCGAGACGGGTAAACTCCTCTGTAAAACAAAGAGATGCCTTTAACATCCATAAACTGAAATTTAC